AAGATAATGCTCAGGAGTTCTCCTTCTATAAACTGATTTGGAAGCTCAATATTCCACCAAAATGGAGCCTATTTTTATGGAAACTGTGTATGAATGGTTTGGCGGTTAAGCGCAACCTGATCCAACGAGGAGTGGAAATTGATGGAGAGTGCGACTCTTGTGGTATGGAAGAAGAAGATATTCAACATATTTTTAGGTTATGCTCTTTTGCGCGATATGCATGGAGAAATTGCTCCTTGCATATTAGCTCTGAAATTGATGAATCTACTCCTTTGGGACACTGGATTCAGAATCATATTATGCCTTTTCATAGCGAGGATGGGAACCAAAGTGATAGGATACATGTGTTTTGTGGGCACTTTGTGGAGTCTGTGGCTGACAAGGAACGGGAGAGTCTTTAGAAATGAAGGAGGGTATTTGGCTGATTTTTACAGACATTATGATCTCTCTATGAAGAGTCTTGCAACCTTCCTCACACCTAATGTGATGACCCACGGGGTACTACGAAATTTGGATAATGTGTGTGGGGGGGGGGGGGGGGGGGGACAGCCGTCAGGATTTAGAAGATTCAATATCGGAAGGTGTGGTGGTCTCTCGGAAACACCTCTAGAAGGAAATATAGAGGTAATAATTATGGCTGACAGTTCATGGAAGAAATGCACGGGGCATGCGGGTTTTGGTTGGGCTTTTTCTTCGGATGCCGTAAATTTTTTCGAAGGGGAGGGGAGTTTGGCAATGCTCTCTCGGCTCTACATGCGGGATTGTTAGCTTGCTTAAAAGCTATTAAGTGGGCACGATCGAAAGGGTATGTATCAGCATATCACAGTTTTTACAGACTCTAATGTTATTATCCAAAACTTGCAGACATTAGAGAGATGAGGCTACGTTGGACTATCAGGGATTTATTGAAAGAAAGTAATCTCTTGGATATGTGCACTATTGTCAAAAAAAAAAAATCATAAACTTTTTTATTTTTCTTTGAAAAAGTGAACAAAAATAGCTAATAAAACTAAATAAATGTTCTCAAATTGGTGCTTTGTACAAAGTGCTTAGTGTGTTATAATTGAATATATTAAAAGATAGCCACGTGACACATATATTTTATTAGGAACACTTTTTAATATATAAGTATGGATATAATTTTTTGGTAAATTTGTCAGAAAAAACCTTTTAAAAGCACCATTTTGCGAAAAAAAAACCTTTTAAAGTTTTTTGGTTTAAAAAAACCACCACGTCCATTATTTTTGCAAGAGGAAACCTATTTACTTAATTAACCTCTAATTTACTTAATTAATCTCTAATTTCCTCCCATTTCTTCTAACCTCTAATCCACCAAATTACTTAATAATTAGATTCAATTTATATATTTAAATAAACCACCACCCCAACCACTAACCAACCACCCTCCCCCTTCCCCTTCCCCTTCCCCCTCCCTTGGCAGCAACCCCCCACTAAACCCGCTGCCTGGATCCCCCACCTCCTGTGACCTACCTCCACCGCCGGCTGACCTTCCCTCCCTTATCCCCGTTGCCGACCACCACCTCCCTTCAAAATTTTTGTTCTAGTTTACTCAAACATGCTCAAATCAAGTCCAAATCAAATGCAATTTGCTTCTAAATCACCCTAGCATCACATATATATTAAAAACCAAAACAATTATCAATTGCAAGCAAGAAGCATAAAATTAAAAACCCCCAAATTGATTTTCTAGGGTTTATTTTTCAAAATAAAAAGGTGGTGGTCGCCGGCGAGGATAAAGGGGAAAAAGATGGTTGGACGGCGGTGGAGGTGGGGAATTTGGGCGGCGGGTCTGGTGGTGGGTAGGGGGTTGCTACCAAGGGAGGAGGAAAGGGAGGAGGAAGGAGAGGAGGTGGTTAGAGATGGTGGTTTGTTTTATATATAAATTAAATATAATTAATTATTAAGTTAGTGGATTAGAGCTTAATTAGAAGATTTAGGAGGAAATTAGAGATTAATCGGTTTCCTCTCGCAAAAAAATAAACGTGGTGGTTTTTTTTTAACCAAAAAGCTTTTAAAAGGTTTTTTTTTTTTCGCAAAATGATGCTTTTAAAAGTTTTTTCTGACAAATTTGCCTAAATTTTTAAATTTTTATTTACTCATTTTCTCTCATAAATGTTAGTTGCCCTTTTTTTAAAAACTCCCAAACAAAGTGTGCAAACATTTATACTACTCCCTCCGTTTTTTTTTAAATGCATCACTTTGACAATTGCATTTTTAACATATCATGGTTGACTTAATTTTTTCACTTATAAAAAATAAATAAATGTTACTCCGTATTATATAATATATCAATAGCATTTAAGCATTTAATATGCTTCCTTTTTTAGTATTAAGTTGAGAATTTATCAACAATTCACGAGTAATCGGTGTAATAAATGTTTATTTATTGTCAATTCTTTCCATTTTTTCTTTTTCCATATAATTTTATTACAATTTTTACAAATATTAATGGTTAAAGTTGCACCTCGACAAATGTATCGGTCAAACTGATGCATATATATATATATATATATATATATATATATATATATATATAAACAACAGAAATACTAAAAATATTTGTTTACATATTCTCCCTCCTTAATGTTGTCTAACGCTTGAAAGACTTTGCTAAACGTAACTAGCTAGTAGCCCTCCTAGTAATATTGAAAAGAAAAATCCGACCATGAAAAGAATTTTTGGGGCCCTGTCCAAAGTCACACTTTGTACACCCCACTTCTACAAAAAAAGTTCCTATCTTCCTAATCTTAGGCCCTAACTGCTATCATCTTCCTATATTTGTTCAACCTGAATGCTCTCGTCTCTTCTGCTAAGCATCCAAAAACAATAGAACACCTCCTAAAAAAAAAAAAACCCACCAAAACCAAAATTTGACTCGCTTAAACCAAAAAAAGACTTCAACCATTAACATACGAGGGAAAACTAGAAATTTGTTCGTATACAACATAAAAAGTGTCGGTTACAAACTCATACTGGAGTTGATCACGGACAGTCAGTAGTGGGAAGGACCGAAGGACAAAATAAGCACAGAGCAGATTAATTACATTAGAAATGCTCTTCCAAGTGGTGGTGGCGGAGGTCTGTTTGGGAGATGTCGGTAGTGATCGTGGTAGGAGAACGGTGGGGCATTGATAAAGAAGGTGGGCTTCAATAGAGGCAGAGATCTGGATTTGTGAACAAGGAGGAAAAGCTTGAAGGAAAAAAAAAAAAAAGAACACACTTCATAATAGAGAAAAAAATTCAGAAAACTAACCATATAGTGCCATGCAACTTTGCTGACCTTTCGTGAGAAAGAAACACATGAAGCTATGAATGACAATCTCAATCAATAATTAATGATCTCTTAAGAAGGCGTGATGAAAACCACCGGAGACTACCGGCACAACCACCATAATCTAGCTTCTAAGATAAACATTGGCTAAGTACTCCATGTCTCCATGGAAAATAAACGTCGATGTATCTTCTTAGGCCCTTCCTTAGTCCTTAGTCTAAGGGCCATAGATCACCAAGCTAATCAGTAATCACTAGTGCAGAACCAGCAAAAAAGTTCAGCAAACAGCAAGAGCAGAGAAAAACAGTTTCTACATTGCTAGGCAGATTGCAAGTGTATCTATAATTCAATCCTACATACTTTCAAAATTCACCAAAATCACCACTGCACGTCTACACCAATACTTTGGCATCACTAGTCATCACTTCTTCAAAGCTTCAGCAGTTGAGCACAGGCACACAGCAGCCGCCACAACAATCACTAAACTTGATCATTTGTCATGAATCTTATAAACCTACTGTAGTAGGTCTTGTTTAACATAAGGAGATTGGTAAACACTGCCTAAAATGATAATTTTGTTTGTAATTAACTGTGAAGCCATGCTCTGTTTGTCAAAGCATGACAGGATTGACAGCTTCAAAATGAGACCTCAATCAGCATTCAACAGATTCATCTCAATCAGCATTCAACAGATTCATAGCTATAACAGAGACATAAAGCTTACTCAAATACTCACATTACCTATTTGTCATAGCAAAAAAGTTTTTCAAACATCTCCCGAACCCTGATAATCTATTATTCTAAAGTGCATTTCACACACACACACACACAATTCATCAACTAAATTGTTCAATCATTGTCCAAATTGGCTGCTTCAGTGCTTCCCATTATAAAATACAAAAATAACTACAATTCCTCCACGAAGACAAACAGCCTATGGAAAAATTGTTCATTCGCTGTGGGAAGCACACCTTTACCAAGCAATCAGGGCAATGATGCATAACATTTTCACCATTGCAATATGGATTAAGATTAATTTTCTCCAACACTCCAACCCCATCCCAACAAAGCATTTGACTGCTTCATAACTCCAAGATTAAGTTCAAAATGCAATGCGCTGTGAAGCCATGTTCTGTTTGTCAAAGCATGACAGCCTCAGAAAGAGACTTCTTTCAGCATTCAACAGTAACAAAGCTATAACAGACATATAAAGCTTACTTGATGCCTCATATTGCTTATCCTAATAGCAAACAACTACAACTTTCAGTCTATCAAACACCTCTTGGATCCATCTCATCCAATTTTGTAATGTGCATTTCACAGGCACGTTTTATCAGCTAAGATAAAGCTATACGCCTATACATTTCCTGTCGGAAAGGGCTGCTTCCAACAGAAAACACATCAACTGTATCCTCCACAAAGATGAAGACAAATAGATGGAAAAATTGGTCATTCACTGCACTTCGCCCGCATGTTAGATGTTACTATGATTCATAAAAGTACATACTCAATCATCATAAGAAGTCATCTTTACCAAACAATGAGAGACGCATCTCATTTTCAACATTACAATATGGACTTCTCCACATATCATCTCATTTTCAACATTACAATATGGACTACTCCACATATCTCAATACAAGTAAATAACCTTATCCTAAAAACAAATATGAAATATATACGGTATATATAATATACCAAGATGAAATTTCACTAAAATTCCACATTCCTACACATTTAACTCATAACATGGAGGTGTTCAGTTCAGTGTACGACATACATCCTCACTTAACTATAGCTCTCTCAAATGAACAAATGCGAGCTTTAGGAGTGTCATATACCTCGGCACATGATTAAAATCACCCTTTATTATATAGCTCAATCAACTTAAAAAAAAGTAGATTAACTTTCGAAGGAGAAATGATTTAGAACTAAACCCATTTATATTATGCACATATGGTTTCTATATCACCAAAACTTGTGATATAGACTCTAAAAACACTCATTCAAGAGTACTAACTTCATATAACCTCCATTTAAAAAAAAGAAAAAAAAAAAAAGAAAAAAGAAAAAAAGAAGCCTAATTTACATTGATTCAACTGTAAACAAGAAGTATAAACTTCCCCAAAACAAAAACAGGGAAACAAAATACTTAAAAAAAAAATAAAAAAAAATTAAATTGCGTTACCCACAAGCAGCCCACAAGTGTTCCCAGTCAATCGAACCTCTTCCTTTACCTTCATGATCCGTTTTTTTAATGGAGCTCCGACAAACAGGACAAACGGGCGACTTCAAAATCCATTTATCAACACAATTCAAGTGAAAAACATGATTACAACCGGGTAAAACCCGGCAACTTTCACCTTCCAAAAGATTATCCAAACAAATCGTACAAACTTCAGAGCCTTTGAATAACGATTTCGGAAGAGTTTTAAGCAATTCTAATGAATACCCAGATGATAAATCCTCGTTTCCTGAAATGGGTCGTCGTTGGTTGCGGCGGTGACGATGCCGGAGAGCACCGCCGGCGATGCAAAGATGAATGAAGATTATGGCGGCAACACCGACAAAGATGAAGAAGAGAGAGATTACGAACGCCATGATTAGGGCTTGAAGAAGGATTGAGAGGAGTTTTGGGTTTGATTTTGTGAGAGTTTCCGGCGGTCGGAAGTCACCGGGAAATTGATGGCTAGGATTGTTGCCAGTGATAGCATTTTGACGGCTGCGATTGTTCCTCGGCATTCACCTTGATTGATTTGTTCTTGGTAAAAGTGATAGATATTTTTGTTTTACTTTTTATTTTTCTTTCTTTTGTCTTTTGTGTAAGGAGATCCGATAATGAAGAAATGGGGTGGAAATTTGAGAGGAATATAGGAGGAGAGAAAAAGAGATATTCTCTTATTTATTGGTGTTTTTTTTTTTTTTTAAAAAATTATTTTTTAAAAAATAATTTTAATTTTTTAAGGGATGGAATGTGGGGTCAAATTGGGTTTGTAAATGTTGGATTGGACCGTAATTAAAGCCCATTGGATACGTGGGGCTTTAAAGACGGTAGGAATTTGGAAACATAACCACTATGCATACTACTGAAAAAACTATGGGCAGAAAGGCAGGGATAAGGTTTACTATAATAATCCATGTAATTTACGAGTAATTTTATTTATAATCTACAGTATATATACATCCGAAGTATATTTTGAGTGTTAGAGAGCCCCAAAAAGCGAGGAGGAGAATCGATCTCAAAATCTCCTAAAACTTAAGAGCAAAGCTTTAATTACTTGAGCTATCCCTTAAGTATATATTATGGTTTTAATTTTTATATCAAAAAGAGAATATAGAAAGGAAAGATTAAGGGAGGTGATAAGTGTTTTAATTTTATATCAAAAAGAGAATATAGAAAGGAAGGATTAAGGGAGGTGACATATGGCATGTAAGTGATTTGTGACGACATGTGTCATACAAGTGATTTGTGCTTTGTGCTTTTATATATCTATATAAGTATAGATATAGATTAGAAGTTGTGATTTCTCTATAATCATTTTAATTTTTACTTGTAAATGTATTTGCTAAGGTATTTCTGGGAAGTATATGTTATTTAGCAAGTAATTTTTCTAACCCTTTTCTAAATACTAGCTCACATAATTTGTTGGTTTCAACCGAAGTAGTAAGGAAAAATGTCAATGTCAGTTAAGATATCACTGGTTGTTATTGCACTCATCTCCATCACTACTAGTCTAATTTCATTGTCATCGGCTATTCCCGGAACTGCCACATATTACTCATCGTATACTCGTAAGTATAATATACTCCTAGCATTTTATCAATTTTAATTTTTTATTTAATTTTCCCCATTAGTCTTTAAAAACGTTTGAAAACACTTTGTCATATTTTCTTAATATAAAAATGAATGGTTTGTAATTGACTTGCTTATGTATGATATTGACATTGAGAGTACAGTGTCTACTATCTTATGTACATTCGGAGTCATTTGCTCATTTAACCAACAAATGAACAAAAATAATTTTTGCTCAGTTGAATGAACAAATAATCCGGGTGTACGGTACACCCCGTTGTATATAATAAATTCTAATTGACATTATTTCTCCTTGTTTTAGATAAGATTAGATCAGACTTAAGAAATAATATAGTAATTAAAAAAAAAGTTCAAATTAAGTTAGATCAATTGGAATAGAAAAGATAAATAATTCAAAACACACACATTTAAATTAAAAAAATTAAGATCAAATCAAATTAGATAAAAATTATTAGGCTATTTTCATTTTGACCGTGTGATCTAGTCAGATCTTAATTTTTTTTTTCTTTATGATACAAAGATATAATCTTATCTTATCAAACTAAATCAGAAAAAATAAATATCAGTACTTTTATTAATTAATTAACTACGGAGTAATTAATCTTTTGTTCGGGTTGCATAATATGTAGCATCGGCATGCAATGGAAGTATTCCAGGAGGAACATTTGTAGCCGCAGCTGGTGATAAATTGTGGAAAGGTGGTAAAAATTGTACGAAAATATTTGAGGTAGCATGCACAGGTTCATTGTATCCATTTCCACATCCATGCAAAATTGGTACGAGTGTTTATGTTATAATTGTGGACCGATGCCCTAATTGTGTTGTCACTTTTGAGCTTTCTAAAGAAGCATTTGCCAGTATTGCTGATCCTGTTTTTGAGGGAGTCATTACCATTGAGTATCAACCGTAAGTTGGCAACATTATTATTACAGTCTCTGTAAGTCCAAAAATGACATAATTTATTTTGAGAAATGTTATTATTGTGTTACACTAATGTTTTTATATTTATATAATTTTGATTTTACAGGATTAGAAGTTAG